TAGTGTTGTGGATATATTGGGTTAAATAAACTATATTATTCAAATTAATTTCATCTGTTTCTTTTTCTCTTTTTAAAGGATTACTAGAAAATTTAAAATTACACACTGGCTCACATTTGTGGCTCGAATCACGTTTCTATTGGACAGCACTGGTCTGACACATTTAAAAGATGAGGGGACTGCCACAGCAATTCTGGAGTGTTTATGAAGTTCATACCCACAAAAAAACACACACACACACACACACACACAGTCTGATTAAAATTTAAATACGACACAACCATGAACTCTCACTCCAGAACAATTCCTCTGCAATCTGAAGTAAAAGTGAGGAACAGAAGTCATTGTGACTGCTCTCCCTCCCACCAAGGGAGGGATTCCAAATGACTCAAAACCTTCTTTCCAGCAAGAAAACCTGGCAAAGACGCGGCCTTCGCTCTACACCTGTCCTTCAGGCCTCCTCCAAGGCCAACAAACTGCGGCGCGAGCCTGAGCACCAGGCAGCCTCAACCAGGGGACACACCTGTGGCACAGGGCACCCACCCCACAGGGTTCACGTAAAACTCAGCCAGGATAACATATGAGAAAATAAAGTATGAGCAGGAAAGTGTAACTGCGGTGCATCATGGGGGATCATAGTCCAGCACCTTCCAAACTCTGTTTCACCATGACTCACAGTAGCAACTCCATTTCTTATCATGCAACATACATGAGCAAACATAAATAAAACAAACGTCTCATGAGACAACACTTGCTTTCAGTACTGTGCTATGCCTCTGCTATTTTTTAATGCTGATTGTGATCCACTAAACTGACTTTACAATCCACGAATGGGTCGTGGCACAGCCTAGGCTGGGTATGGTAACTAAGGTGCACTCCCCACTCTGTGATACGACACTGCACCCCTCTCTCCAGAATATGGACGTGAGCTCAGAATCCTTCCAACACAAGGATTCGGGCAACCACAGCCAATCACCTGGAGGCAGAATTAGAGATGAAACTTATTTATTATTGTTGTTCGGATCCTAAGCTCTCACTTGACAGATGCAAAAACTGAGGTCCAGAAGGAAAAAGTGACTTGTCCAAGGACATACAGCAAGACTGTGGGAAAGCTAGAACGCCCGCGAACCCACAAATCTACTTCACTTTGCACTGGCAGGTAGGAGACACAACGGGCACAAACCATTCCAAGAACGTGGAAAAATTCAAATTTCATCGTGACCATGAAAAGTCAATTATACCGCCAGCAGAGCACAGCAAGGAAGTTCTTATCTCCCCACCAAGGAGAAGACTTGAGGGTTCTGAAGTCCGGGGAAGCAGCGTGCCAAGAGCTGAGTCAAAGGTGGGGGGGAAATTGTATCTGACGATGGAGGAGTTTTTAAACTCTGTTTCTCAAGTGAAACAAACCACTGGCTGTTTATTTTCTAGGACCAAGGAAGAGGTCAGCCTTCCACTGACCAGCCATCTCTGTTGCTTTCCTTCAGCAAATGCAAGAGGCCTTGTTCAAGTTCACCACTGCGCAGGGCTAAAGTATAAGCAAACCCTGTTCCCTTGCTTGGTCCAAAGTCAAGCTATAAAGCAGGCCCTTGAAATTTCAAACCTTATTAGAAAAAAAAAAAAAAAAACCTCCTTAGGCTGAAAAGCAAAACATTAAGTAATAAGAGTCTCCACTGTGAAAGAGAGTATAAATGATCTTTCACCAAAATAACGCAGCCCATCATCAAATTACCACCCCTCAAGTCCAATTTGCCAGATTTTTTGCCCAATATTATAAGAGAGTGTGGTAAGCAGACATGGGCTAATGAAAATCAGCTCGTGTGTCCATTTCTGGTCACACTTCCATCTAAAATAGGAGGTGAGAAAGGCAAGGCCCAGGTCAGATCTCAATCCTGAGAGACGCCAATAGAAACAAAAGAAAACTGGCCCCGCCTCCAACAGTACCATCATGCACCTCGATTTCCTCTACAACAAACATGATCAGAATAAACAATTTTTTTTTTTAAGAGAAAAACAGGTCTACAAAACAGAAATGATTTTCCATTTCCAGCCAGGAGTTCCCTTTACAATGTAGACAACACAACAAAATTTCAGCAGAATGGAAGGAAGGCATCTGAGTTGTGTGTCAGGAGAGCCAGGACACACAAAGGAACATGCTGCAATTATTTTTATTCCTTGCACCAGTAATAACCTGTTATCTACAACCCTGACTTTTTCTCTGATGCCTGGTAGGGATGCCCACCTACCCGCTTCCCTGCCCAGGGCACAGCTCTCCTCTATCTCTGGCTAAACCCAGGTCTACTGTCTCATGAGGCCATCAGAACCCTTAAAAATTGTAAATTCTTTGACCGTCCTAGACATCGGCCTAAATAATTCAACAGGAAAAAAAAAAATTTAATTATGCTACTTAAAAAAAAAAAAAAAAGCTCATTCCAAATATGTCAGAATGTGGCCAATCAGCCCTAAAGGATTTTGTTACTAAAAAAATAAAATTTCCCAAATGCAATGGCCATGATGGGAAATGTCAAACCTCTACCACTGTCAAATATATTTCACAGAATTTGAATCCCCTTAGAAATCTGAATTTCTACAAAACAGGGTTGGGAATCCATGGACCGGGGCTACCATTTCTTCCAAGATCAGCTGGTGGCTAGTGAAAGGGGCACAGAGATTCCTCTGTGTGACCCACCATCAGTCGTGCCCTCCCACCCCCCACAAGATCCCACCCTGCAAATGCTGACAATATTCCCCCCTTGGGGACAGAAAAATTAGAACATTTTGTGTTTGTTTTTGGTTCAAAATCCCCAGCAACTTCAATCAGATAGTAATTCATTACAAATAACCCTTCAACTTTGGGTGGGTACCTTATTTTCATCTGTTAAATTTTTATTCGTCAATATTTGTCATCTAAAAAAAAAATTTTTTTTTGGTTTCACCTTCATTTGATTCATTTTAAAATCAAAAAAAATATCAAATGCTGTTAGCACATATGCTTTCATCAAGTAGCTTTGGGTTTGGCTTTTGTTTGTATTTTGATTTTTTTTCCTTCAAAAATTAAATTAAAATTTGATACTAGAATCAGCTGAATTGGTGTTTTACCCAATTTTTTCAGCAAAGTATTTCACTAGAGAAGTGGATGAGAATCAGAATTTTCATCTCCTCTCTGTCCTTCCCTTTTTATCTTTCCTTCTTGTTAAGTCAGTAAAATTTGTGCCTTAAAAATAAAAATCACAAACACCCCAAAATGATGAAGGCTAATGGATTTTTCTTCCCCTTTGAAACATAATCAAATTTGTGAAAAAAAATACCGAATGTTAATAAACTACCAAGCCCACACCACAATCAAAGAGGCCTCTGATCAATCTGGACTTTTTTTTAAATAATAAATTTTTCAAATTGGAAGAGTGAGCAAGCACAGAGAAGGGAAAATTTTCTTCCTCCAAGAATTCCTCAACCCTTGTCTTTATCCACTGATTCAATTGCAGGCCATAAAAGATGAGCTTCTATGAATCCACTGTTAGTTTTTTCATAATAATGTTAATTATGCATATCTTATTTTAATGGCGGTCTCTCCTACAAATCTGTGGGCTACTCAATTTGTATAATGTAACGAATTTACATTTTTTCCACTGAATATTGCTCAAAAAAGGTTTCTGACATTTTTTGAATAAAACAACAACAAAAAAGAAATGCCTAGACCTTTCAGAAAACAAAATCAGAAAACAATCTTAATTATTTCATCAAAACAAAACAGAATAACACAAACCCAACAAACGCAGGGAGAAAAAGAGAGGATTTCACTCTTAACTTTTCCAGTTTCTGTTTTTCTTTAGAACCTTGGGATTTAAATGCAGTAAAATGTAAATGCAAAATTGGAAAAAAAAAAAAAAAACACCTACAATTTCTGGGTGTGTCCAAAGCCAACATTTTAGGGTCTGTTTTCTCTTTTAAATCCTTCCTTCTTGGAAATAGAACTTAAATATTGCCAAATTGTGAAATTAGTCTTTTTTGCCCACGAAACTAAACAAGTTCCAAATTACAATGAAGTACAATTTCTAATTGCTTCATAAAGCCAATTTCTCCCAGTTTTCTCCAAACTCAACAATTTCCCTCTTTTCCTCATTCCAATTAGTTTTTTGCTCAAACTAAAATGAGTTGGGCAGCCAAATTGACTGGTTTTAGGAGGCTTTTTGCTTTCATCCCTTCAAAAACTGAATTCATTCAAATTCCAGCTTAATTTTCATTTACATATTATCTGGATTTGGCTTCAGAAATAAAAACTGCCTTCATGCTGCTGAAAAAAAATCAAAGAGAAAATTTTCACCCCAAAAAGAAAAAAGAAGAATCCCTTTCCCCTCCACTGATTTATAGTGCAAACTTTTGAAAAAATAAGAAATAAAAATTATTTCTTTTCAATTTTAATTTCTTTTTTATTTACAGAATAGTATCCTCTAGGTGGCGTCGTTTTAATGGGAAAAAACTACCGTTTGAAGAAAAATTAGAAAAAAAAAAAATGAGAAAGGGAAATATGGCCTAAAAAAAAAAAAAGATTGTTGCAAAGATGGGGGGCCAGGGGAGGAAAGACCTCCCGGGGTTCGCCAGGCGCCGGGCGCGCGGAGAGGGTCAGGGGGAAATTGCAAATTTGGAGGGGAGGGGGAAGAGCTGGCAGGGGTTGCATTTTTGCAAAATGTGAATTGTCCAAACTGAAATGGCTGCTCTGTTCTCTCACCGCTTTGTTTTCTGGGCTCCGGTCCGAGCCCGGGGCCGGAGAGGGCGCCGGTGGGGGTCCGGAGAGACCCCACCGCGTCTCCCACCCTCCTCGCACCCCGCGGCGCCCGGGGGGGGGCGATCCAGACCCCGACCCTCCCGTGGGCGCCCACAAAAAGCCCGCAAACGTGCCCGGGCACTTGGCATTTGGCACATCTGGCAATGAAGTGGCGCAGCGCCCCGGGCCGCGGCCCCCCGGGTCCCCCGCGCCGAGCTCGCCCCCGGCCCCCTCGTACCTGCGGAGCCGCCGCGCCGCCCGGCTGGTTCATGGGTCCGTGCGGGAGGAGGCGGCCCCGGCGCGTCCTGCTCCTCCCGGGCCGGGCTGCCGGTGCGCGCACAATGCCGCCGCCGCCGCCGCCGCTCCCTCCTCCGCCCGCCCCGCTCAGGCCGGGGGGGCGGGGGCGCGGGGGGGGCGCCCGGCCCTCGCCCCCACCTCCAGCCCGCACCGGCCGCCGCCGCCGCCGAGCCGCCCCTCGCGGGGCCGCCGCCGCCCCCGCCGCCCTGCCCGCCCCCCCGGCCCCGCCGCGCGGCCCGCGAGCCCCGGGCCTCGGCCTCGGCCTCCGCGCCGCACACAAAGCCGGCCGGGCCCCGGGGCGGGCGCGCCGCTCCCGCCCGCCCGCCAGCCCCGGGGCCGCGGCGCCCCCGCCCCCCAAACTTTCCCGCGCCGCGCCCAGCCCTCCCCGCGCCCCCGCGCCCGCCCCCGGCGCCCTCCTGCCCGCCCCCCGCGCTCCAGCCCCTCCGAAAGGTCATGTTCACGTTGGGAAAAAAGTTTGGGGAGCTGCCTCCCCGCGGAACACAAGGGGTTAATGGGAACTCTTCTTCGGCTCCCCCTTCACCCCCCAAAAAATCAGATGGATTTTTTAAAAATAAAGTTTGAAGAGCTGGCCTTATGGAAGGCTCAGTGGAGATGTCCCCGTGGCCGCCCTCCAGACATTCCCGTGTCATGTGGAAGTTTGAAGAGATGGCCCCATGGCTGTCAAGAGCAGTCAGGGGAATTTTCCTAGCCCCCCACTCAGGCTGATTTTTAAAATAAATATTTGAGGAGCTGCTTTATAATTATGTGAAATGTGGGGTGAACAGAGTATGTCTATTTACCCTAGTCCAAAAAAAAATGTTTAAAGAACGTTTATTTTATTTTTTTATATATATATATATATATTTTAAAATATATTTTATTGATTTTTTACAGAGAGGAAGGGAGAGAGATAGAGAGTCAGAAACATCGATGAGAGAGAAACATCGACCAGCCGCCTCCTGCACATACCCCACCGGGGATGTGCCCGCAACCCAGGTACATGCCCTTGACCAGAATCGAACCTGGGACCTTTCAGTCCGCAGGCCCACGCTCTATCCACTGAGCCAAACCGGTTTCGGCAAAGAACGTTTATTTTAATAAGTTTGAAGAAATGGCCCTATGTAAGACAAGAGGGTTAATAAAGGTTAGAGGGGGGTTAGCTCCCTCCCATAGCCCCCGATCAGGTTCATTTTCAAAAGAAAAACTTGAGAAACTGTTTCTATGCGAAATAAATGGTGAACAAGAATATTTCTATCCAACATCCTAAATAATCACTTTTTTTCTTTTTCTTTTCTTTTTTTTTCTTTGAGGAACTGCCTTCTTGTGATTTGGGAAATTTTAAAGGGGATTTTTTTTTCCTGTTCTCCTCCTCACCTGTCCCCAAAATCAATTCTTTAAAAAATTAAGTGTGAAGGGCCTGCTCCCTAAAGAGACAGAGGGATTACTGTGTCCATCCTACATCTTCTACAATTGATTGATTTTTAGAATAAAAACTTAAAGAATTGCTTATAGATGAGATGAGGGAAATCTTTCTTTCCCCTTCCCCGAGAGAAAACTATGAGGTTACTTTTTAAAAATAAAACCATTAGAAATTAAGGATAAACAGGTATCTTTGCACTGACCCCACTTTTAAAAAAAAATCACACAAAAGAAGTTAAGAGCTGGATCGATATGAAACAAAAAGGATTACAGAATTTTTTTCTGTGCACTCCTCAGAAAAGTTAATATTTTTTAAATGCCAGGAAACTGCCTGCTGGCGTGGCTAAGTGGTTGAGCATCAACCTATGAACCCAGATAGATGACGGGTTTGATTCCCGGTCAGGGCACATGCCCAGGTTGCAGGCTCGATCCCCAGTAGGGGGCGTGCAGGAGGTGGCCTATCAATGATTCTCTCTCATCATTGATGTTTCTATCTCTCTCTCCCACTCCCTTCCTCTCTGAAATCAATAAAAATATAGTTTAAAAATAAATGTCAGGAAACTGAGGGACAGTATAGAAGACACATCTTTCCCCTGAAGAATGAAATGTGGGAATATAGCTCTCCATAGGAGGCATAGAATTAAGAGACACACTCTTACCAGGGAACACACACACACACACACACACACACACACACACACACGAGGTTAAGAAGAGGGATCTTCTAACCATTCCCCCAATCCCCAAAAGTTGAAGAGTCATTAAAAATAAAGTGTCCATTTCCCCTCCCTGCCAGCCTGCCACCCTGGCATAGGTTCAGCAGACTTTGCCAAAGCTGGTGTAAGGCAGGCACCAAAGGGATCAGGCCAGCCTGCAGAGTTTGGCAGAGTTGGGCTCCCATGAGCCCTGGGCATACTTGCTGGCCGGTCAGCCCCCTGCCTGCTTGCCCCTCATCCACTAGGTCAGTGGTCAGCAAACTCATTAGTCAACAGAGCCAAATATCAACAGTATAACTATTGAAATTTCTTTTGAGAGCCAAAATTTTTAAACTTAAACTATATAAGTAGGTACATTGTTATTAACTTAATTAGGGTACTCTTAAACTGGCCTTTGCTAAAAACATCCTCAATCTGATTGAGGTACGTTCGCTGAGGTCGACCCCTTCCAACTCTCCCATCCACACTTGTCTTGTATACTTGTTTCCTCTATCTCCTTCTCTATATGTCCTCTCTATATGTCCAAACCATCTCAACATACCTTTCTCAATCCTCGACACTACATCTTCTTTCACTCCACAACGTTCCCTAAAACTAACTTAAAAAACTTTACTTAAAGTTTTAAGTCAACTTCGCACTGTACGTGCGCGCCCGCACATGGTATTTTGTGGAAGGGCCACACTCAAGTGGCCAAAGAGCAGCACGTGGCTCGCGAGCCGTGGTTTGCCGACCACTGCGCTTAGGTGGCTGAGGCCTTGTAGCCTGGACAGATGTTGCCAGCTTTGATGACTCTGGTTCCATCCCTGTGTGGAAGTTTTGGGGCACCTTCCTCAAGGCCAAGCCCTCTCCTCTGCCTAGCGGAGCTAACTAATCCTGACCGACCGTAAGCCCTGGAATAGAAAGAAACTGGACCCAAATAACATTGCATCGCAGTCACCAGACTCAGAGCTATAGGGGACCAAGGGGTGAGGGGGGACGGGGGGAAGAAGCCTGCTCTGGGGATCAGGGGAACAGGATGCAGTTAATATTCATTGAGCACTTACTATGTGCCCAGCACTTTATGCGTCGTAGGGCAGGCTTGGCACAGAGCAGACGATTGCTGGCAGCGGCCCTTCTCACGCTTGAGCAATCCTCAGAGTCACAGGGAGGTCTGTGCAAAGACTGGTTGTTGGGCCCCACCCAGAATTTGCCTTTCTAACAAGTTCCCCGGTGATGCTAAGGCTGCTGGTCTAAGGGCCACATTTTTTAAAGACTACTGCAATACAGCGAAAGGGACAGGTGCGGAGGAAGAGGAAGGGCCCCATTCCGCCTGTGGGGTCCACGAAGATCCCAACATCCCGCTGGATGGAAGGCTGGCTAGAAGCACCCATCCTCTCGGGATCTTAATCCGATGGCAGGGCTCTCTGGATCCGGATTCTTCCATAGGGACCTTGAGTAGGTGTGGGGACCCATGAACTAAGCAATTTTGGGTCGTAAGCAAACTTATGTCTATGTGGACATTTTGGGGGTAAAAATCTCTGGCTTTCACCATTTTCTCCAAAGGGTCACTTACGCCAACCTGGAATGACCTACAGCCTGCGTCCAGGGTCCTCTGGCCTGGAAAATCCTCAGGGTCCTTCTCGGCCACCTCTTCCTGGAATCACAGCGAGCCCTTTCTGCTTCTCTACCACCCACAGGCCACAGACACTGTCAGCACATCCCTGCTGGGAGCCCGGAGTGCACTCCACACCACCACGGACAGGCTGTCCTCCACAGGGACCCAGCCCTGGAGGGTCTGCCCTGTCTTCCCTCTGGGCCATGAAGGGCACGCTAAGGGGACGAGGGCTGAGCTTGCTGTGTTCCTGACAAGATCCCGTTTCTAAATGCATGCATCTCCCAAACCACTGGAAACCCTGCGGTCACCAGAGCTGTGAGGTATGCCTGCTCAGGAGGTAAACTAAGGGTTACTTAGGGGGGAAGGGCAGAAGAGGAGCCAAGTATTTAGTGAGAGCCCAGGGGGCTAGACCCGACCTGCTCAATGATGGGCTAGGCACCATATCGCAGGGGCGGAGTGACCACTGGTCAGAGCTGCCAAGAACAGACACTCATGTTAGGTGGAAACGGGGTCCAGTAGGGACCTCCGAGGGCTTACCCATTCTCTAACGGTCCATGGTTCGATTTGACACACCTACATTTATCAACTTCTGGGAACTTCACATCCCTGCCACACCCAGTCCGCTGCGCCCAGAATCATCGAGGCCGCATTAATACTATACCCATAGCGTTTAAGTTTTAAGAGCGCGTCTACTGCCTGGGTTCCAACCTTGGCTCTGGCCCTCACAGGCTACATGACCTTGAGCAGACAATTCAACCTCCCCTTGCCTCCATCTCCTCATTGCCGGAGACCAATTCCAGCATGTCATAATTTCAAGAGTTTCATCAAAAGGTTGATGAGACTTGGGGACTCAACAGGGTCGAGTCACACATGTAGTCACCTGTTGGGAATGGCTAAAGGCATTTCCCCAAACCTGAATAGGAAACTGATTGTGGCTGCCAGACAGTTAAAGGGCATCTTAATCTACATGTTATTGCCTCCTACTGGCCAAACACCTGAACAGCCGTAGGCTATTTCCCAAACTGACAATGCTTCTGTGCCCTTTGAAACCTTACCCTATGAAGTGTATTATCTCCACCTTGCCTTAGGACAAATGGTGTTAATAAAAGCAGGGGTCCTAGACAAGGAGGGACACTCTTCAGTTCCTTTAGCTGAAGGTCCTCTGAACCCCAATGCCTTTCCAAATTATATCTCGTCTCCAGACTCTTTATTAGTCTCTGGGTTTCTATGTCATCTTCGCGCAGCCCCTTTTCCAGATTCCTGAACCCTTCTTTTTTTTTTTTTAAGTATATTTTATTGATTTTTTTTTTTTTCAGAGAATTAGAAACATCGATGAGAAAGATCGATCAGCTGCCTCCTGCAC